GTTTTTTTTTTCTTTTTTTTTTTTCTTTTTTTTTTCTTCTTTTTTTTTTTTTTTAGTATTTCGACGGTGGTGATACTTGGTTAATAGTGCTTAACAGAAGAATGTGAAGATCTTTCTAAATAATTTACAACTAATTAAAATGTAAAAGATAGCTAAAAGCGAATTAGATAGAATTATTTTACTGTTGCCTCGAGGCATAATAGAGGCGTTTTAACGAAAGGTGAGATGATGATCACGTAACGGATACATAGTAGGCCTATGCAATTAAATGCACTATTAATGTACTCTTCAGTTTTGTAATGAAGTTCACTTCCAGTAATCAGATATTTAGTTGAAGGAATTTAATTGAACATTTAACAGCTCTAGGTCATTGTCGGTAACAAGTAGACAGATCTAAGTTATTTTTATGATATTTTGTATTGTTTTTTATTTTGATTTAATTTGCACATCACATTAAATCGCATAGAGACCATATACAATCAAGTCCTCTATCATTACCATTAGGAGGCTATATGAAATTTTAATAGTTTATGGGCTCACCTGAAAAGTACTGAATGGAGAATCCTTGTAGTTGCGTTTCATCGTCTGTTGACCAGCGAATAGCAATCTGGTTGCTATTCAACGTCAATGGATCAATGGACGATAATCCAGAAAATACAAGAATTCCACTACTACCGGTTAATAGACTTGGCCCAGCAGAAATTTCCAACGTGTCGTGGTCCAGTTCAGTGATAAACGTATCAAATCGTATTGTTATCGACAAAGCATGTGGAATTCGGATGAAGTAATAGCAGTTTTCATTTGGCGTGTATGTATTCGGAAAACCAGGACTAGTAACAGTTCCAGATTCCTCAGAAAACGTTTGGCCACAATCTTGACCTTATAAGTATTGCAAAAAACGAGGAAATAAACAGAATTAACTTGATAAGATATAGGTCTAGTACAGTAATCATTATTAAAAAATATATAAAGACAGTGGGCCTAATAATAATAATAATAATCACACCAAGCGACATGCACAGCTAAGGTTTCGAACCTCCGGCCTCAGGGTTGAGATTCCGAGCCACAACCATTGCGTCAACTTACATTACCATATTATATATTGATTCAGCAAACATTTATAGGCCTACCTGCTGTGAATTGTTCACAGTTTTGTCCCTGTAGTCCGATGTTACAAAGACACACATAGCCGGGTGCAAGAGTGGCCAATATACACGTACCACCATAAGAACATGGGTTTGGCGAGCAAGCTACAAAAATAAACATCGCAAGCCTTAGTTTGGGAGGTTTACATTAATAATAATAATTAATTTAAATACTTTAACAACAAAAATTAATTCACCAAATACAAACAAATATTTATATATCATAATACATTTATTTCCTTAAACACTCATATTTTTGTCGTAACAAATTCACAAACAATAAAATATCACATTTTAATGTTAAATATCGGATAG